GTTTGTTTGCCGTTCTGATTTTGTCCAGCTTTTGGGGCAATCAGTGCAAAAAAAGGCCGGAGTGGGGAAAAAATATATAAAACTTTGCTTTTAATTAAAACATATTTTACACATGCAAAGAAAAAACGTGAAAAAAACGTATAAATATGAAAATATTTTTCCACTGCTTCACTAACAGCCATCAAATGGAAATTAAAACTTTATCGCTCGGTAGATCTCGCTTCGCTTTTTGTGAAAATATTCCCCTCCTCGGATCCTCTGCAAATGGGCATTCAGTCAACAAGTATTCCACTTTGCCTTTATCCACTCATTATTCCCCCTTTTTTTTGAGCCACTAGGTTTTGCATTTTATTAATTAACATTCAATTAGCGAAAACGATTGTGGCCCTGCCGCATTCAAGTGGCATTTAAGCTATTCACGAATTTGTGAGCCGGCCATTCAGATATTCAAATAGAGTTTGCTTTGCCCAATTCAAAATTTTTTTTCTATAAAATACGATTTGTTTTCTTTTTAGTAGTTTTAGTTTTATCTCTTTTTCAGGTGCTTTTAGTTTGGAGCATTCAATCTTTTTCTGCCTCGACACTGAAAATAACAATGATTACGAAATTAGTTGAGTAATTAGAGGTAACAGTTTGCGGATAATTTCAAATTTGGATTTAAATTGATGTCTAGGATATGGAGTGTTTTAACTAGATAAAAATGTTGGATAGATAATAAATTGTATTCTTTAAAAATATATTTGTAAATTTTATCAAAGTGTGTTTTTCATAAACAAAGAGAAAGGTAACCCAAAATATTAAGAGGATAATGGAAACAAATTTTTTATATTATTTTTTCTGAGTGGCTTCAATTTAAGCTCAGCCTTTCCATGTTGTCCTCTATAAATTTCCCGGTCTGAGATTTTTTTTTGCTTTGCCTTTGGTGTTTGGTTCATTACAAGTTTAAATAATTTCCCTTGATCCCCGCCTCTCGCCTTTGTTCGCCGTTTTAGCCCGATATTGCAAAAGCACAAGCTTAAAGTGGACACCGCCCTTGAATGCGAAATCGAATTTCGCACTTAAGCAGCTGTCAGCAACGGTATCTATCTTGGCCCAAACACCCACCCAACCAGCCAGCCATTTCCTTTGGTGCCCTCTACTCGATCCCACTCCTCTTTTTTGTCGTAACTTGCCCTGAAAGTTGCATAGTGGACAAGTTGCAAGCTGAATACATGGGAGCGAAAAGGTTGGAAACAATTTGGTTGCCTTAATGCATAATAGAAAGTGTCGTATCCATGACAGCCAAACTTTAAAATGATTTTATTAACTTAACTTTGTTTTCAACCAGCAAACACACACAAAAAGTGCAAACTCTGAGAGTCAAAGGGCCAAAAGTGGTTAAATAAAAATTGAACGATATTTTTAGTTGACAGTATTTAACTTGGGGTATTTTGCCGAAAGCTAATACATATCTTGGTTGAATTTTCAGAGAAGGTGGCAATAAGTACTCCCTGTCGAGCCCCAAGTGGCATATCACTTATAGCTAACTGGGTGGCAAGGATTTCTTAAAGTTCTTAGCGGTATGTCGTATGCAAATGCAATTACAATACTTTCAGCATCGCTTTCTTATTTTTCCAATGCAACCCAATCGATGGTTTTGCATTTTCCCACCTGGAGGGGGTATACCATATATGCACCATACGTGAGTGGGTGCTCAGGTGCTTCTCCACGAACTTTGACGTTTCCACTAATGAAAGTTCGCCCACATATGTACGTGCGTGTATCTGTGAGAGTCCCAAGGAGTTTTCCCTGGGGTGATATTGCTTGGCCTTTGTTGACATCACGTCGAACCTGTTACGAGTGTCAGCTCGATTTTTCCTATTTTTTCGCTTGCAACACGAAATTCACGTGTCTGAGGTCATGGTGAGTCGATGATTTTGACAAATCGGTTCCAAGAACGTGGCCAGTTCAAGGGTCACAACATTTTCAGGGGGTAAAAAGACGCTTGGGAAACAAAATGTCTCAATTTGGTTTCACTTGCTTAAAACTTTTACCTTCGAAATAGCCATTAGGTAATAGACAAGTGACAAATACTTTAAAGGTAGTCCATATAAATTGAATTTCTTTAGTATTTCTTTCTTGATATAATATTTTTAGAAAGCAGCTGGTTTCTGAACCATGAGTAATATATCATTTCCAAAACATATATCACATTTGATGATACGAAATTCTCATTTACTCCTTTAAATTTAAGCCATTTTAGTTTTAGGTATATAATCAAAAATTAATTCCTTGCCAGTCCTTTGCCAATAAAAGATTATCTCAAGGGCCTTAAATTACCATAAACTTGAAATATACCTAAGTGTCCTTTGTGTGTCCCTCTTAACGCAGGCGAAGATAATTTGATGCACTTATGTAAATGTCATTTCACGTACTTCGAAAATTTGGGAAATTGTGGTATCGGTATAATACAATCAACCTTAAGAGGGACTTTAAGTTATAATTAATATTAAAGTGTATGAAAACTTTAAGTACTCAAGGGGTTTTTAAGACTTTTCTTTTCAGTGGTGGCAATTAAAATGTGTACATTGTACCGTGTAAGTAGGTCGCCAGCAGCTCTACCGGTTAATGGCCAAAAAGACTGCGCTATTTTACTACCAACCTCATCTTTTTATAGCTTGTTAAAGTGCCGGTGAGTGATATTGATATGATAAGAAAATGTTTGTACAAGGAAAATATGGCACTGAATTTTGCATATTTGTATACGCAGCAGTAAACAGACGTATGCCCGGAATCAATGTAAAATCACACTCTGGAGCAGAGGTTTTTAATTAATGTTTTATTGCCGTTTGACTCAATTATTCATTAAACTGCCTCGCTACCTTTCTTGCTTGCATTGAGTGCCTGATTAAATGGCTGGATAAACTCGAGGATAATGAGTAATTAAGCGGTTAAGTGCCGCGCATAAAAGCCTCAAGTCCCGCGCCTCCGTCTGCGATATCTCCACAGATTTATGCCAAGCGCAGGCCGCACTTTGCCAGCTCTGAATGGATTTCTTTAAAATAAAAGCAAATCAAAGTGAAATACATTCAAGCACCATTTGGTCGGCAAGTGTTTGCTCCGGAGTACCGTAGGATCCAACAAGTTATTCAGCTGGCTAAAGACGCTTTTATCTCGCTTTTCCCAGAAGGAAATGCGGCCAAGTGGCGAGCAGTTAACACAACACACATGTACTCCATCCACTTCGTCCCACTTCAAGCCCTCCGGCACTCGTCTGGCAAAGCATTTCGCTTTGGGTCTGTGGGCCAAATTGAGTATTAAGTATTTTGGAATTTTTTGTAAAATGAAATAAAAACGCAGCGCTGAAAACAGAATGCGGCAGCAGGAAGTGGCCACAGACACACACCCACATATATGTATAGACAGGCGGAAGCGGAAGCACTCACATTACTCGACATACCAGAAGTAGCCCAAGCCAACTTCCAGAACTTTCAGACTGATGACTACGCCATCACCCACCTTTCCAAACATCAGACATTGTGATGTAATGTGTACAGGTTGAGCAACTTTGAAGTGAAATTAAAAATGTTATTTTAAAACTTTTAAAGTAAATAAATGAAAGAGTTGATTATATCATGATGTACAACCTTTTGTTTCATCGGAAAAGTCGGACTTCTTTAGTAACTTTAAAATAGGAAAAATTACATTACAAATTAAAGAAACAAAAAAAAATTAGGATATTTTGTAATATGTAAACATAAATTTACAGAAGTGCGGCCATGTTTATCGAAAGAAAACCTCAATTTACCATAATTAGGAGCTGCAACCTCTGTTGACCAGTGTAATAACTCATCAAATATCTTTTATGTTTTTTTTGTGTATTTCTAATTTTCTGTCTATACCCTTTGCTTTGAATACTAGAGCCTCACATCAATTTAGTTTTATGGCCATATCTTTCGTATTCTACTTGGCCCAAGGGGCCCATTTTCGCTGATCCCTTTTAGCATTTGAAGTTATTTATCTGCATGTAAAGATTTTGAACAACATTCAGAACGATTTTCCTTGATAAAGAGTAGCCAAGTTTTTGTTACCTTAATAAAATTGCCCATTTTATGATGATTTTTCTACCAATTTTGTATTGACTATAATTCAGTCAATTAAATTGTTTGACCCTAAAAACCCGAAAAGGCCAGTTTTGGTCGAAGGAATTTCGTCATTGCGGCAGCTTTTGGCCATTTCTCTTTCAATCTTCACTTTTCCCAGGCTTGTGGCGCAGTTCGGCCGCATTCATTCCTCACTTTAAGTCTCGACATTTTGACTCGCAAATTAAAATAAATGGCATCACATTTTTCCAGCAGATTTCTGCTGTTTGGGCTCCATCTCTTTTATCTGTTTCTCTCCATCCAAAGTGGATATTTAAACGACATTAAGTTGACTTAATTCCAACGCCTTAAATTTACCCAGCATCTTCAAGGTCTTTTTGTCTGATAAAGCAAGAAGAAAATGTAAAAAAAAATACTCGGGAAAGTGTGTCCGATAAAAGGGCAAGCAATTTGATTGTAACAGATTTAATTACAAAGTTCCGGCCAAGTCGTGTGTTAAATTTGACCAAAAAGTTCATAAAAATGCATAATCTTAACGTCAGGCTAATGAGGCGTAAACAAGTCACGGGTTTGGGATGGCGTGCTTTCAACTTTTCTTTTAACAAATTAAATGTAATTTGTTACGCAAATTGAGCACAATCCGACAAAGAGGAGATATACAAGAGCGATGCTGTGAAGTTAAACTCGTTTAAAAAACTGGTGGATTAAATAAAAGTTAATTTCCACGGTAACTGGAAAAGAATTAGCCCTTGCCGTTTGTTTACAAGCTAATTATCTATGTAAATCAAAAGTAAATATACTTTTATTTATTTAGTTATGTTAAGTAAAACAAAAACTATGGGATTATGCTTTTTGAAAATATTTCACTTTTATTTATCATTTAAAAATGTACTTAATGCAAATATTAGTTTCCTTGGCTAAAATAGATAAAAATAAAAGGTTTTCTCTTTATTTGGTTCTGTAATTATCTTTCATTTCTTTTCTTGTGTAGCAACAATTTGCACATTAAAGTTATGTTATATACCTTTATGTTTTAAAGTTATGTATGTTTTGCAAGAGTTTGATTTCTTGTCATGCAAAAATATGTACCAAAAACATTTCGTTAGATATATTTAGCAGTATTTCCCATTTATTTTATAAAAAGCCACAAATACCTTTCTTAAACCCTTGCACGCTAATAATAAATCACTTTAGACCTCTTTTACCGTTCAACCCACAGCCCGCTTATTCGAATGCCCATCTCTAACAACCGAAAAATAATGGGAGTCCTAACTAGAAAACCCGATACTGCTAAAAGGACTTAACACTAGGGACTCTCTAAGGCATTTGCAGGCTTTACTTCTACAACTCTAATTAGGAACACAGACGTGTGGACTTCTCTATATGTTGTTGTGTTTTTGTCGGGGGAGTATATAGAATATAGCAATGGACTTTGAGACGAGATTTCGTTCGGCTAAAGGTAGATAAGCTACTCTGAACGGTGGTTAACACCGCAGTTATATTGGCTAAGCACACAGCACATCATTAAGCAATTAAGTACACTTTCAGTTTCCCAAAGACAGTTTTAGATCTAATATAACCTACACTACATCTTAAAAATCAAGCACTCGTTCAATCATTCAGGGGGCTCACTCTCTTAAATGCAGTCAACGATGATATAAATACGTGAAAAAGAGATTTTTGTGCTTTCTTGAGATTTTAGGAATGGGGTTAAAATATTGTGGATTGTCAAAGGAAAGGATTGTGGTAGGTATTTTTAATTTGCAGAGTTTTGATTAGAAGGGTTCGCTAGCTAACCCTGTATAAGCTATAGAGGGTTTTAATGTCTTTGGATGATGATTCACTGGTTTCCGGTAAAAATACTTTCAACTTATTACTGGCAAAATAAACCTAACAATAAAATAAGTACTCTTCTAAAGAGGAGAGAAACAAAGATTATACAAACATTCAATATAATACTTGTTCCATTTTTTTGACTCACATTCACCAGAAAAAAATCACTTACACCCTTACTAAATTCTAATACTCTACTCGACTAAAACTTTAACCTCTTCTTAATTTGCTGACTTAAATTCATTAAGTTTTTGGTGTTTGTTACGGAACCCGCTACCGATCCAGCACCTGCATCTAAAGCTTAGAGATTAATCGTATCCAGGTCCTGGCAGGGAGCACGAGGACTCATATCATCCGTGCTTACACTGCCCCGGCCATCTTCTCCCCCAGTTCCACGTCCATCGGCCGTAACATCCGCCATCGACGAGTGGTTCTGGTTCTGTCTCAAATTTGTGTTGTTATTCACCATATGTTGGCCCGAGACGTTGTTGGTCTTCGAAACTCCATCGGCAGAGTTAAGGTTGTTGTGAAGGACCTGTGTTTTTTTAGTGCCCAAGCCCAGAGGGAAGGCAAAGTCCTGCGGCAATTTGTGCATGATCTTTCCAGAGGTGATCAGGCGACCAAAGCCCTCCTGAAATATTAATGAAAATGTGTGGTTTGTGTGGGTTCTATAAGAAATAAAAAGGGTGGTCCTACCTGATGAGCAAAGGCATATCCTGATCTAACGGAACGACGTCCGCGGCGCGATGAAGCCGTTCGCCTGACATTACTAGAGGCTCTCGAGTGAATCTTCTTCAGGACCTTTGACGTATCTGTTTTGATAAATAAATTTTTAAGCATGGTTTCGGTTGTTCAAATGACATTTACCTTATCTGAAAGGCTGGGATGAACATCCAAAGATAGAACTTGTAGGCCAGAACAGGCGCCACCAGGGCCATCACTGTGATTAACATGGTAACCCAAAATGTCAGGTCTTCATGGCTTGGGTCAAAGAGCCCACATAAGGCCCTCCGATGACATAGTTGTAGAAATAGTCAAGCACAAAGTACCACACCAAGCTACCCCAAATCGTCACATGATTGACAACGGTCCAGTAAGAGGTGTACAAAGATATCTAGAGGAATGTTTTAAAATAAGAAATAATTGTTGGGAGATGTAAAAATATTCTAAGACAAGATATTATAAACTAAGTCGAAATGAATCTTAACATAACATCTAAATTATCTTAAATTTTAATAAATCTTTGCTAATGAGTTCTATCTCGACTCACCTGTGCCGTATTATCCACTATGAGTATGGTGGCCACCACCGCGCCCAGGGTCATATGATCGCTGACGATAAATCCGTTTTCCGAGACGCCGTCCTTGTATACGCCGTAGGGAATGAGGAACAAGACCAGCGAGGTGAAGGCCCCGTGCAACACACTGTAGATAAACTCCCGAATGTTGAACAGCTCACTTTTGAGACCCGGCGTGTAGAGGCGTGGGAACTCCACGCTGTTCTTGTCCGAGACATCCTGCTCGAAGACGCCCAACGCCAAAACGGGCAGGGATGTGTAAAACAGATTGTAAACTGATATGAACATCGGGTCGAACACCGTCTGAGGTTGGATAGCAATTAGTATTGATACTGTGTAACACCTGTAATAAAACCCACCTGAGCGCTGAAGCCGCAGAAGAGCGAATACCAGCAATGGCACAGGGTAAATGCAAAGTTCTTGTAGAAGAAGTATCGCAGAAATTTGCACATGCGGTAGTAGGACCAGCGACCATGGACCAGCAGCAATCGCTCAAGGTATCGGAACTGGGCAATCGAATAGTCACTGGACAGGACAGCCTGAAGGCCCTCCTGCCCTGAGATACCAACGCCTATGTGGGCAGCTGAGGGAAAAAGGTATCATATTTATCGTTATTTATTCCTAGAGATATAAACCAGACTCACCCTTGATCATGGACACATCATTGGCGCCATCGCCAATGGCCAGGGTGACGGCGTTTTTGGCACGCTTAATTAGCTCGACGACCAGCGCCTTCTGGAGGGGCGTTACCCGGCAACAGATGACCGCCTTGCACTGCGAGGCGATGTCCAGGAATCTGCAGAACAAACCAAATTATTCCGTTATTGATTGCCTATCGAATATTTCTGGCACACCACCCACTTGGTCTCCAATTCCGGCGAAAGGCAGTGCACCAGTGAGTGTCCATTGACCACTAAAGCAAAGCCTGTGCCTCCTCCCTCGCTCCTCTTCTCATCACCGAACAGGTCATTGCATTCCGCACTGTTTGGAAATACCAAATATCAAATTAATACTCCTATATGAGAGGATATTCAACAATCAAAATGGAAATGTTATTAAGCAAAGTTTAGTGTAGAAGGTGGCACGGCTCAATGAGTTATATGTACAGAGATTTAGACAAGCAACTACTTTGGATGAGACAGCGAAGAAGAATAGCTATTTAGTTAATGAACAAGACTTGGACAGTGACTGTTTGTATTCGTGGTTCTGAAATTTGTTTATCTTTGAAATTAAGTCTTCAGTTTCATTTTTGTACAAGGAATGACGAACAGACAGAACTCAAACAGATGCTGGGTGTTTATAATTGATACGAAAATAATTTGTTTGAACAATAAATAAATATAGTTTACTTGACGGGCGGAACAAGCACCAATAGAGGGTTACATCCTTTGGTGGGTAGTACTAAAATGTTCTCTTTAACTTTTCTCTTAACATCAATTAACACGACAAAGTAAATGGTAAATGCCTAAGATTTTTTTACTATGAAAGTCAAACTGTCCTTTGTGACAAAGAATTAAAAAACTATAGTAAGCTAATAAAAAGAAGATTTCTAAGATAGTTGGATTTAATTGATAGATAGTTCAACATAAACATAAAATTAAATAGCATTTTAGGTACAACGAAAAATAGATAGGAAAGATTAAGACATTTAGCTAACACAGATTTTGAATATTATAAAGATATTCTAGCTCTGCTACTCAGGTTAGTTTCACTTCAGCTAGAAATATGTTTGGAAATTCATTTAATTTTAAGAGCTAATCTATTGAGGTTATTTTTAAGGATTGCCCTCTACCTGTCCGGTCCGCCCTTATTATCCTTAATTTTGTCATCCCACCTAAAGGTAACCACCGAAATGGCAGGCGGTGGAGGCGGCGTAGGCGGGAGGTTGGACTCCTGCATGAAGGCCGATGTTTGGGTCATGGTCACACTCAGCGGATCCATATTGCTGTCGCTGTTTAACCGGTCAAAAGGATCAAAGACTGAAAAAAAACAAAAAAACAACATAAAGTAATCCGTAGGTTAAATATGCTGATCATAACGGTTCTATCTATTATTGACTGCTGGTTAATTTAATGCTTACGCACTCACCTCCTGGTCGAAATCGATTGTATATTTTGATGGACTCTTTGAACTGTCTCAGCTGTTTTCTACCTCCTCCACAGAGTTTCCATCTACTATAAAGACATCGGCCAGCTCATCAGTGAGCAGTTGGCAGGAGTAACCGATGTTGATGGCCGTTTCTAAGTCAGAAAATTCAAATATTTGTATCTAACCCTCGAAATATTTTTCCTCTAAGCTCACCCTGCTTGTCTCCTGTTAGGACCCAGATCTTTATGCCAGCATTCTGCAAATTAGCTATAGACTTGGGCACTCCATCCTGCAGTTTATCCTCGATGGCCGTCACTCCAACCAGTTGCATTTCACTCTCGATCTCCTCGTAGATTTCGTTCAGCTTCTGTCCCGTGAGTCCATCGAAAGGGCAGCCTCCTGTTGGCGACTCCTCCAGTCATTGTAGTACTGCTCGGTTAAACGACGCTCAGCAGAGCCAAGGTACGCAGGCCCTCACCAGCAAATTTCTATAAAAATAACCTATAATTATGGACTTAAAGTTTTAGGAAAACCCACATTAAGGTGGTCCTGGGTGCGCGCTTTCATATCTTCTTGCCGCTCTGCAGACGATCGTATATCACATTGTCCGCTCCTTTGCAGTAGAGCACCATGGAGTCACCGCGTCGGAGGATCACAGACATCCGCTTGCGGACGTTGTTGAAATCAAGGATGTTTAGGAGCTCATATTCCTTTGAGAGTTGGGAAATGAAATGATTCTCATTTGAAAACATGGATTAACCATAACACTCACCTCCAACTGTCCCATCACCTCGATGGTAATACTATTTGGTGTTCGCGAACGAAAGACAAAGCCGAAATTTCGAGCGGCCGCCACAAGAGCAGCTTCATCGGGACTCTGGGCCTGGTACTCCAGCTTCCCATCCACCGTTTCGGCCATGACCGTGTGGCAGAGGGCCAACAGACGGAAAAACACATGGGAGTGCTCCTCATCTGAGCGGACAGCATCTAGTAACGTGCGGTCGTACCACCTGAAGTCGCTCTCGTGATGCGGATTGGCCGAAAAGTCGACGGTTTGAAGGGCCTGCGAAGAGGAGTTTAAACGGTTAACATAAGGTTACAGTTTGGTAACAGAAGGTTAATTTGTAGGTTACTGTACGTTAAGCTCAGCTGTATACGATATTAAGCAAAGTTAGCAACATTTCAATATTAATATTAGTCCCAAAGTATAAAATGCCAAGTTAATTGTTGTGGTGTTGCAGAGCACCCTTAGCGATTCCGAAGCATAATGTTTAATTTCAGGTTTATAATACTAAATACTGAATAATGTATAATTTAAAGAGTTTATAAAGTCATAACAAAATACGATTTTAATAAATACGGAAAATTATAGGGAAAACGCTTTATAATAAGATGCAAAATTTTATTAAAGGTTATTGATAAGGTTTTTTAACAATCTATTATCTAAAATCTTATAAAAATAAAGCTAAGCCAAAGAAGTGCACAAGGGTTTTACGCAAATCAAAAATACCTTATAGGCTATAATTCAATATCCTTAATCAAACAGAACACTATTAAGAGATTAGGTAATAGCATTAACACACATATAACACACAGCTTGACGGTAATCGGTAATTTTGGGTGTGAATAGAAGGCATGCGGCATGCATACGTGCACTCTCTGAGGCGACGAACTCCAATTGGTGGCGAATGCATTGTGGCAGTGCTTTGTGGTGCTCGAATCGCTTGGGTGCAGTGTGTATGTGGATTTTGGATCCCCCTCATAAGGCTGCTCGAGCGTGACTGTTGATGGGGATTTCTTGAACCGGATCTTGACTAATCGCTTGCGATGGTGCTGTGGATGGTGCATGTTGTGTGCTTCTGTCTGTTCATGTTCGGTGTCATGCAAAATCTTTACTTTGTCGCAACTGCTTGTGCGGGACAATTGACGCTGCATATATCCCGCTCCGCTCCGCTTGAAACCGCCGCTGTTCCTGCGCTCCTCATTGCTGATGGGTGGTGTAAGACCCATCCTGGGTGACAGTCCCCCAGGGTCATCCTCTTGACTTCTACTCGGCGCCGAGTATCGCACATGCTTGAGTCCTAGCCTCTTTTCGCCGGCGTCCAGCGGCGGAGCAGAGTGCTCGAGGTCCGGTCTCGAGGATACCTGTGCTTCCCCCGAGGAGGAGGAAGAGGTGACCACCAGGGCACTCTTCTTGGCATGGACCTCGGCCGTGTGCACTAGGATGATGGGGGGTGCTGCTGCAGGTGGCGCTGTCGCAGCTCCACCTGCGGGGCTGGGTCTGTTGTTGGTGTTGCTATTTTGGAAAATTGTTTGCTGCTATAACGAGTAATGTGAGTTGTTGTTTTTTCTCTTCGTCTTTTCTTTTTTGTTTTTTTTTACATTGCCAGACACACACAGTGGGGTCACAGGGTAAGAGATCAAAGTTTAAGTTTGACTTCGGATGAGACTGGATTTTTTTTAGGCAGACTGTGCAAGAAACGGACACCGACACACACAAGACAACATTCCCTCAACCAAGTTAGAGGTTAAATCGGCTTATTGGACCCGAAACCCCCCGACAATCCCCTACACTCACCTCCGTAATCTCGATGAGCTCGCCGGTGCGCAGGTCAATCACATCGCCATAACTGCGCCCATTGATGCTGCACTTGTTGAACGTCATGATGTTCTGGGTGAGGGTGCCCGTCTTGTCCGAGAATATGTACTGGATCTGGCCCAGCTCCTCGTTGAGCGTGGTGGTGCGGGCTTTGGCATAGGTATTGGTGGTCGCATAATACATCTCCTCATCCCAGTTGATGAGGAACGACTGTACGAAGCGTATTACCTGGGAATATAAAAATATTATACCAAGTTCTTTAGATAAAGTAGGTTATATTAAGCACTTACCTCTACTGAAACGTAGAGAGAGATTGGCACAACTGTGTTTAAGACTATGGCATACGAGAAGAAAACCAGCAATCCGATGACTGTGGCCCCCGTGGGTATGTAATCCTTGGGTATGATGCGTTCCCAGGGCAGATACAGCTGGAAATGCTGGCCAATCAGGCCCTCCCACACGGCACAGCCGATGCAAAGAGGGCACATATTGACACCAGAAACAAGACGATCTGAAAGAGGTGGGATTACTTTGTATCCATTTATCTATTATAAGAAATAGACTTACCCCAATGATAATAAAGTTTAGCAGGCGATCCACGCCCGTGCTCTTAAACTGCGTCTTTCCAGAGTTCTGCATCAACTTGGTGTCCACTCCGGCGAAGACCACAACGCCATAGCACCATTGTGTGTTCCGCAGGACACAGCCTCTCAACAGGATCTTCTCGTTGTCCAACGCGAACCGCTGACTCCGCCAGATTAAGGTGCCATCGAACTTGTTCAGCAGATTATTGGGCCTCTCGCAGATGATCTCACCGTTGAAGTTCCACAACGAATCGTGACGATCCCCCAGCTCGATGGTCTCTGTCAGACATTGTTTCGCCTTGAGATTCGTCTCCCCATCCAATTCGGCTGTCTCGATGAAGCACAGACCATTTGGCTCGGATGTGGACAGTAGTAGCGTATCGGCTGCCACAAACTGATTGTTGTCCAGCCGGATCACGTCACCCACCTGCACCTCCGACCACTTGGCCTCCACCAACTTGCCATTGCGAAGAGTTTTCGACTTGCGATTGTTCACCTGCGAGTCGGACAGATGACGTTGCTGAAATGAGGTACGGGATATTTTGAAAAGAATTATAAACAAAATCATTTCTTTGTAAACATTTAGGTTTCGGCTTATAACATATGATATACCAAATCTACAAAACTTACAATATCATCGTAGGCATCCTTAACCGCAGTTAGAGTGAGTACTCCTATCAGGGGAATGGCTGTGGTCACGGGTGTGAGGGAGGAGATTGCGGGTATCAGTTGAAGGACCAACAGACATAGGAAATAAAAGTTGGCCAGCCGCTGGAATTGCTCCAGAAGATTAAAGGGCAGGAACGTGAACAGCGAATACTTTGAGGTCTTGATGTAGTTGTTCTAAATATTTTAAAAATTATAATTAGTCCATTACTTTTATAGAATTTGGTTAGAGAAGTATATTTACGTGATATTTGAACTGGGCATTAAACTCTTTGTCGTTGGCGCGGATTCTGCGTTCGTTTTCTGGAAAACAGTAAAATAATATATTCAAAAATTAGTCATATTAATTTGATCAATTAAACTACCGTTACTTTTATATAAATCTAAAATTCTAGGAATATTTCATTATTTAATTCTTATATCCCAGCTTCTTCTTTCATTACCCGAAAAGTAGTACGAGCTGCGGCGCCTTCTTATCTGGGACAGACGTCTCATACTCGGTAACGACTTTGTTTCCGAGGCCACCGATGGATCCCTCTGCTTGTACAGCTCCTGGTCAAAGGACCTATTGGTTGATGGATTGGCTCCTTCGGGGGCCAGACTGTAGAAACTGTCACCCACCATCAGGGGCGTGGCAATGGTTTGTGTGGAGCTGCCAATATTCATGCCCTCCGGTTGGGCGAGACACGCCCTCCGGGTGCCCTCTTTATCGGAGTTCCTTCCGCCCTGCTCCTCAGTTTCCTCATCATCATCGCAGTGCAGTCGTTTCCTTCGATTTTTCGAACTCCTGGCGAACTGAAACCAGCGAGTTCTTTTACTGGTTGCTTCGGCACTTTTGGTTCCAGATTCGTCTGCATTTCCAGTTCCTGTAGCTGGAGTCCGTTCATCATCTTCCTCCTGGAGTTCCGATTCCATGGGTTGGCCGCCCAAAACTGACAGTTCCAGGGTATCGGGACGCCTTCGCAACCGCCGGGCGGCCTCGCTGCATCTTCTGCCCCCGATCATGACCAGCTTATGCTATAGGAGGAACAATCTCGGTATGGGGCCTCCTCATTACTCTTCATTCTACAAGCGAAAAGCGAAAGTTTAACGTGTTGCCAACTCCCGGGAGATTAAAATGCAATTGGAAACCCATCGGCAGCGAACAAACTTCCCTGGGGCACTAGCTCAATGAGACTGTACCATCCATCACTTTGATAGACTGCTCCCCTTCCCTTGCTGAAAAGTCTAAGACAGCTGGAAACGATTCCCATCATACTGCGAGTGTTTGCACGCATGTGTCTGGGCAATAAATAAATAAACAAATTTTTGCTTTGATTTTCGGATACCCAGGGGGAATCTTTTTCAAAGGGTATATTAGATACATCTTGCAATTTTAAAATCAAATTAAATTGTAAAGTGAATGTTTAACAAAATTTATTCATATATGGTGATTTTGAATTAACTACCTGGCGAAAAACGAGAGCGTACATAGTTCATTACGAATACAATACACCCTTTTACCCTATAATTAAAGCTTCGAAATATCATGTTGATATCAATAGCACATTTTATTGGTTTAAGTGTTTAATTGCCGACTTCCCAAAAACAAATGTAGGTTGTTTTAAGCTGGTTGATTGCCCCAGCAGGCCTTCTTTATTCCCCACAAGGCAAATCATTACACAATCGCTTTGGTGCAATTCAATTATAAATTCTTCTAACAATTATTTATTGTGTGAGATGTAAATTTAAAAGCAAACCAACCCGATTTTAGGAAAGTCGATAATTGATTTAGAATTGCTTTTCAGTTGTTTTTAATTACACTGATTATATACGGGGCATTGTATTCGAGAGTGCATTGTTTTGGTGCTTGGAAAAGGCGAATTAGGGAAATGGCTTGTATGTCTGTACCTATGTAGGTATGAAGTAAAAGTAAACCTGTAAGGCAGTGTAAATCCATGTTCATCAGTCTGAACACCTGGATCTCAAGAACCATGAATAAGATCTAAAGATATCAGACTTGCCATACAGACTCTTCCGATACATTTTTGTTTATTTTTTAAACATACACAACCGCCAATTTTTTATGATGTGAAAATGTTTTTCCATGGTATTTTGTGTAGGCTTACAGGCTTTCAATATAACTTTAATAGGGCATTTATCAGGTAATTTGTAAATGGTCTATTTTCTGTTTACTTGTTCACAAGAAAAGAGAGCACTGTATTTACTGTAGTATCAATGCCAAGCGTTTCCACTTGTTTTGTAGGAATTTTCAGGGAATTTTCATGTGAGTACATCTGGCTGCATTATATTTAAGCACTATACAACAAATACCTATATTGTGTTTACTTTTTCGCTTTATGCCCGATTGGGTAAATCTGCAGTAAGCAGGGCGCTCTGACGTCACTAAGCAACCACTGTGTAGGAGTGTGTGTGTCTGTGAACATTCCGCATTCAACAGGTGTCAGTTATTCGGTCCCCACAAAAACAACAATGAAAAGGAAGCTGCAGCAAAGTTAAATCCTCTCTTTTTACTCTCTTTCCTCATGGTGGGGAGGTGGGGGCGGGTGTCAATGTCAAAAGTGTTGTCAAGGCCACGACGAATGCAGGCTAACGGGGATATAAAAGGACATAACGGTAAAGGACAGCGGAAATTGAATCTGAGACGAAAAGTTGAGCCGAAAGTTTTTGTCCCTTTGGAAGGATAATAAGGGGAATCGGCAAAAGTTGAGACCCACATCCGCTCGATTTCGATTCACTCTGCTCCGCAAACAAGCGGTTTTTTTTGTGTGTGCCTCAAGGACTTGTGCATTCACAGCTGATTGGCGTTCTCTCTTTTCCTTACATGACTCTCCCAATTGGACTCTCTTGCCTACACTGCAAAAAAAATATATCTACTTTAAATAAACAATAAATGTTTTATTTTCAAAAATTTAAATAAAACGAAAAAAATATCAAAGCAATTTAATTTTGTGCTTAGTTGGACTCTCAACTGTAATTCATAAAACTTTTTGCTGCCATTTTTTTTGCCTTTCATTTTCTAGTTGGTATATTAGAACAAGACTATTTTTTTCTGTGTAACAACACCAAAGCCGGCTAAGCTCTGTCGCGCTCTTTCCCTCCCCTTGCTCCACCACTCTCTTTCTCCTTTACAATATCCTGCTGCGAACATGAGTCATGCATGTGAATGTAAATATGCTCCTTGCTCTCAATTTGTATCGCCTTCTTGAGTTGTTTTTGCTGTTCGCTTTTGCCTTTGCTTCTCTCGCATGCGTCACCTTTGGTGGGGTGGCAAGGTGGCGAAGGGGCGGGGCGGGGTGGCCGAAACAAATTAACTACAAGAAAAGGCCAAAAGAATCGATGAAGGCTCAATAATTATGCTGAGAGCGTAGAAAACACAACAAAACAGGGGGCGACAAATAGGGAACATGTTTTTGGTGCCAGGTGCCAAATGCATCATCATCTGCCTCTCATCCGCCCTTCCTCTTCTTCTCTCCTCCTCCTTCTTCCTCCCAGCTTCGTACATTTTTAGCACATTTCTTGCACTTATTTTGCACCGCTTGCATTAGACTTTTTCTCGTTTCTCCCTTGGATTTTCACTTTTTCTTCGTTTTCTTAGCCAAGTAAGAATTTCGCGGAAAACACTTTAGTTCACCCCGCGGAACTGCAACTCTCGAGTGGAATTTTCGCGGAGCAGGGATTTTCTAATTGGCCCAAGGCGACGCGAAATGCGAGGCGGTCCGCAGCGCGATAAACAAAAACGGCTAACGCCAAAGCCAAATGGCCAACTGCCGCGCAAACTGCGGCCAAAATGGGCGACGGCGACTGCGACGCCGGCAGCGCCTTGGGCTGAGCGAAACGCGAGCAAAATTATGACAACAAAACGCCGACTGCGCTGCCAAGGCAACCGGGCGGGCTATAACGCTATAACTTGGCAACCGATTCACACACACTTTCAAAGTCGAAACGGTTGGAAACGGTTAACAGTAGCTTGGCTCAAAAGAGAGCTACGGAAAAAGCTTGGAAATCCAAAGTTTACTATGCCAACTATTTGCGTGGGCTAAGCTGATCGACGGTTCAAAGGGTCAAAGCACAATACTTGATTAATTACTCTGTCTTACAATTATGGTGTTAGGAAATAAGGGAATTAATGAGCCTACTGAACTTGTTAGATATGCTTTTGCAATCTGGTCTGGGCATATAATATGATCAGTGTGATCATGAATGTAAAATGAAATGTACAAATGTAAGTTGAAGGTCAGTTAATAGCGGTCTATTGAAAAATTAAAAATACATTGTATGTATGTGTTGTACACACATACATTTTAAAATTAGAATGTATAAGCCAAAATGTAAATGACCTATGGGTCGTATGAGTAATATTTACTAGAAACATCAAAACTATTCCGGAACAAAACTTTGAATTCTAATTTTTTAGCTTTCGAATAAATTAGATGCACACAGAAACTTATATATCCACATATTTTCGGCCTTATTCTTTGCAACTTTCAAGTTTCACCTAACTTTATTTAATGGGATCATATTTTTTCACAGAAATAACGTTTTTTTACAGATCAATTTTTATGTGATCGTAATAGGCAGGGCATTACCCAGTTCGTGGTGACCAAAAATCGGTCAACAATTTCCCAAGTTTGTCAAGCATAAAAATGAGCAAATTTCGTAAGTCACCCCAAGAAGAAAACAACGGGACGAATTCGAGAGAGAGCAAGAGTGGCGGCAAACAAATTGGAGGTTCTCTCCCTCGCTCTCGCACACTTGAACAAAGCAAAGCAAACAAGAGAAAGCGTGCTCTCTCTCCCTCTCGCATTCTCTTTTCATTTAAATGGGCAGCAATGTCAATGTCAGACCTAAAAAAAATTATTATTGGCGCTTGAAGAAGTGCCGCATATGGGTTAATGAATGATTGCAGGGGGCGGGAAATGGTAATCATACCCCGTGCACATTGCATTACTTTTTTTTTGTTTTCAGAACAAGGCTAACTCAATCAGTGAAGCAACAAACGCCAGAACGAATAAGGAAATTAAAAAAGATAGATTGCTCAAATTTATTTTGCGGTTTTAGTGGCTATAGAGCAAATGGCATTCGCGGAATTCCTTTCGAAGATTTCAACAGGTGTGCATATGGTAATTAACTAAATAGCTCCCTAATCATGACCTATCGGAAAAACACCGAAAAATGGCCCTTAATTTACTACCCAATTAAGTTCACACAAAGAAAAATAAGTCTTAGTTTGGTTTTGGTCGTTTGTTGGCCCAAAGTTCAGTGAAACTTCTACAACTTGAACTTTTGTAACTCAACGAGTTAATTATCCCAAAGCTGCATAGAAATCAGGAATAAAAGGTTTCGAAATTGGTTTACTTTCAGAACTTTTTATGATTTAAGAAATAATCAAAATACAAAACCTAATGGGTAGAGAGAAAAAATTTGATACATTGTCTGATACATATATAACTTTTAAAGATGAAGAACAATTTTTAAAAATCATAGAACAAAATGAATATTATAATCGTATTCCGCAGCTGTGTTTAATAGTGAAACGATATGTTACATTAGGCTGGACCAAAAAATAAAAACATATTCCAAATTCTTAATGGTAGATTTTACTGTTCAATAATGATATTCAAAGCTGTAAAATGTTAATGTTTTATAGGAAATACTTAAGGGTATGCATGGTAGCAACAGAACGTATGAGTAATAATTTTTAATGAGCAGATCCCAAAACGATTTTTCCAAGAAAATGTTACTTTTTTATTACTTTAATGCCTCAAAGCGCATTGTACAAGCGGGTGAGTATGGACCTTTAAAATTCCATATGCACAAATGCAGACCGCTCTGATGTACACACTTCAAGTCAACAAGTACCCACCCTTGCCATCGAATCGGAATAAGTAATAATTCGCATTCATTCATTACATTCATTGAGCGGCCAAAACAAGGGGCCCTAATAAATCGAAGTGCCGTTTTGACCAAGCTCAAGGCACTTACGCACACGAAACCACAAATACTTGGTCTCCCCCGCACTCACACACACTCACTTTCACAGTCATTGGTTAACAAAACCTTTGTGGAATAGTGTCATGGCCAAAATCGAGCTACGGGCGGCTCTTTGTTAGAGTTTCTCGTCGACTCTCCCGGCAATTGGCTTAGTAACGCCAAAGACTGGTCACTATCTGCCCGAAATCAGTAACAACTGTTCAACTTTTTGCCACCCCAGTAGCGAGATTTCCAATCTAAAATGCCAAAGGCTTTGAGCAAAATCAATTTGTAGCGGGAATTGTTTTATGCTGGCTATTGATTCGAGAGGTGTGCTTTATTATCTTTTAATGTATTAATGTTATTTAATTGCTGGTTTGTATTGAAGTCCCAATCTACATAAAATTATAGCGTATGTATATAGTGCTCCGAAGTAATATAAGTTTCTATTTTTGGGATAGGATTGAAGTGTTGATGGAAAAGTCTTTATTTAATCTTAAGGTTCACTTTCTATCTGTAGAGAAGCATGCTGTTATCTGTATTCTTAAGTTTAATTTTGGCGGGAAAATAGTTTTTCTTCATCAATAAGTCATCACAAATGCTACAATCTTAAAGAATAATTCTTTCTAAATTGTTCTTATATGTTTATAGTAAACTTTATCATACATTTTTTTAATCCCCATGAAACTTCTAAGCATGTTCTTTGGAATAATTTCACATTTAATCGCTCAAAATTTAATTTTCACTACATAAATGATGGTTTTAAAACACAAGTGTAAGTGGGTAAACCAATAATAATCGATTATATTTAAAATTTATATAAAAGCTATTTATTTGCTATAGATAAGGCTGCCTTTAATATTGATTATTAAATTTAAGGAATTCCTATAAAGCTTGATAATTCTCCTCTTCTAATTGAAAGTTACCCTACCCTCACTTTCTCTCGGGCACTCACCTTTGGCCAATTGTGGTTGGGTTTTTGTGCCCATTATGAGGGAGTCTCTCGGGGATGTGTGTCCTCAGCAGGTTTCTATCTGATTTGATGGGGCCGGCAGGACTCGTGCGGCTGGCGGCATCCGGGGCTGCTCGACTCCGGTTCCGACTGCGGTTCCGGCTCCGACTGAGAAGGGAACTGCGACCGGTTGGCGGCGTTGGCCAGCGGCTCGGTTTCGATTGTCGTCGTGGCTGAGCGGACTGATTGGACCTCCTCCATATGGCGGCCTTGTCGAGCCGCCGACGGCTGCCTGGAATAGGGGAAACGGGAGTGTTTGAATTCAGTAAGCATTCAAATGATTCGTCATCGGGTGAAAAGTTTTGCCTTGTCTAGATTTCTCTGTTGAATTTTTAATGGCGTCCATAAAGCTTTTTTAAATGCTGTCAGCTGGTGACCCAGAAGGTCGATGTGGGAAAGGATTGTCCGCCGCCCAGCTGGATGAAAAGATTCACCAAACAAATGAACTTGGGCTTGGTCTTGACTGGGTGTATTAAAAATTTGATGCGTTCACATGCTAATTGTCACACGAATGAGGTGATTTACAGGGTTGGGGGCTCTGATGTGTCCATTAGCAGCTGTCCCCGTCGTGTAACCACTATAAAAAAGAAAATACGCCACCCCCAAGGATGTATCCTTGGCTATTGGTTATAGGAGCTTGAAGGATGTGGCGGACATGGCGGATACGTAATGTTACATGCATTAATTGCATGTAGGTGGGGTTTCCCTTAAATGCTGGCGTATTATTTCATAATTCATTTGCGACCGGATGCACGAAAACTAAGGAAAGTAATGATCGAAAATTAATAAAAGCAATTACAGCACTGGCCAAACAAAACAGAGCCCAGGCAAATACAAAGAAACGATTTGCCTAATGTGACTCACTCGGGGAATCGTAAACAAAGCAGAAAATGAAGTACAAAAGCGGATGAAAAACGATGCGAGTGCACGTGAACCCGGCAAAAATCAAAGATGGGACTCGAATTGAATTGTGAATGCCCTTTCTATAAGATATTTACAAAAAAAGAAAACCAAAACGTCATAAACTAATAAGATATTCCAGTAAATTCAAGGGCTATGACCCATTTATGCCAAGGGTTAGTAATAATTTTAAGATTTTAAGACATATCACACTTCATGTAAACAATCAATCACCAGTTAAAGTAAAACTAAAATATTTCAATAATAAAAATGCTGTCTTTGATCTTATCCAGATGTTTTCAAACTAGTTCCGGAAACCCCAATCACCGAAGTACCCCTCTGCAGTAGCTAAACCTTATGCTAATTGCGAATAATAGGGGTCCATTCATGAATAATAAACAAACGAGCGATTTGTGTGTCGATCGCCAGTCTCAATGGTCAGTCGATTGGGAGCCTTTGTTGATCGTTTACTTTTCGAATGCCTTCCCCTGGCCGTCGAGCTCAAGAGTATGTGACTAAGTGGTTAAACCCAATGAAATTCTTCATTACTATGTATTTGCATGCATGTGACTTCAAGTTTATTGCAGCTGGCAGCAAATGGTTGCAATTAGTTTTGTACCGGAAGTTGATATTGCTATGAAACTGAAACCCAAAACCAAACACCTTTTCAGCTCTCGCTAATCGAAAATAAATTTCTTCAAACATTTTGCGATTATAATCTATGACCTACTTCACTTCCCCAGCGGAACGGTAATAAAATGTGACCCAATGAACAAATATAGCCCGAACTCCCAAAAATATTTAGCCGAGCTTAGTCGAGAACTCACTAAGTCATTATGGATGAGCGATACAT